TAATGTACTGTACATCTTAGTACATCACAGTTGTTAATGTACAGTACAGGTTAGTACAATACACAAGTGACAACAGGACATGACTAAGTCAACAACATCACCTGACTTGATCAAGCCAAATCAACATGGCTGGGTCGACATGTGACCATTACATGTTAACCAAATTATTGTACAAGTTCTAGTAGACTCATAGGATACCACTCAACTAACACAAGTTTATTTTTTTAACAAATTCTTTCATGTCATGGTAAAGTACTAAGGCCATGGTGGAAGAAATTTACATCTTAAGCATAGATAATTATAACTTGTGTTTAATATCTATAAAAGAGGCATTTGTCACTTGTCTTTATTTCTGCTACATTCATAGAGTTTGTTCAAGTGGTTTTATATTCATGTATATCACTGTATTGAAGTTTATGAGTAACATTTACCTTCTGTTAAAGTCATTCAAACATTTATTGAATTCTGTCACTTTCATGCACAAGTTTATGACATTTGAGATGACCCTTCTGGGAGAAACATTTCCCACATTCCTCACATTTGAACTCTTTTATGCCACTGTGTATAAGAATGTGGTCTTTGAGAGTACTCTTCCGGGAGAAACATTTTCCACATTCCTCACATTTGAACTGTTTTATGCCACTGTGTCCAAGAATGTGTCTCCTAAGATTACTCTCACTTGTAAAACATTTCCCACATTCATCACATTTGAATTTTTTTATGTCACTGTGTACAAGAATGTGTGTCTTGAGATAACTCTTACTTCTAAAACATTTCCCACATTCCTCACATTTAAACTCCTTTATGCCACTGTGTCCAAGAATGTGTCTCTTGACATATTTCTTACTTGAAAAACATTTCCCACATTCCTCACATTTGAATTCTTTTATGCCACTGTGTCCAAGAATGTGTGTTTGCAGAGTACCCTTCTGTGAGAAACATTTCCCACATTCCTCACATTCAAACTCTTTTATGCCACTGTGTCCCAGAATGTGTTTCTTGAGATAACTCTTCCGAGAAAAACATTTCCCACATTCCTCACATTTAAACTCTTTTATGCCAATGTGTCCAAGAATGTGTGTTTGGAAAGTACCCTTCTGTGAGAAACACATTCCACATTTCTCACATTTAAAGTCCTTTATACCTCTGTGTCCAAAAATGTGTGTCTGGAGCTGACTGTTCCGTGAGAAACATTTCCCACATTCCTCACATTTAAACTCTTTTATACCACAGTGTCCAAGAATGTGTGTCTTGAGAGTACTCTTACGTGTAAAATGTTTCCCACATTCCTCACATTTGAACTTTTTTACACCACTGTGCATAAGTTTGTGTCTAGTCAGATCACCTTTATTTGCAAAATATTTCCCACATTCATCACATTTGAACTTTTTTACACCACTATGCACAAGTTTGTGTTTATTCAGATCACCTTTTTTTGCAAAATGTAACCCACATTCATCACATCTGAACTTCTTGATACCACTGTGTAAGAATTTGTGTGCCTTGAGAACACCCTCTCTTGCAAAATGTTTCCCACATTCCTCACATTCAAACTTTTTAATACCACTGTGTCCAAGAATGTGTATCTTGAGAGTACCCTTTTCTGCAAAATGTTTCCCACATTCCTCACATTCAAACTTTTTTTCTTTTACTGACATTATGTAATCTCTGGCAGGTTATATCAGCCTGGGGTAGTCTCTGGCAGGTTATAACAGCCTGGGGTAGTCTCTGGCAGGTTATATCAGCCTGGGGTAGTCTCTGGCAGGTTATAACAGCCTGGGGTAGTCTCTGGCAGGTTATATCAGCCTGGGGTAGTCTCTGGCAGGTTATATCAGCCAGGGGTAGTCTCTGGCAGGTTATATCAGCCTGGGGTAGTCTCTGGCAGGTTATATCAGCAGAGTCTCTGGCAGGTTATATCAGCCTGGGGTGGTCTCCATGACCTGGGTAGTCTCTGGCAGGATATATCAGCCTGGGGTAGTCTCTGGCAGGTTATATTAGACTGGGATAGTCTCTGGCAGGTTATATCAGCCTGGGGATGTCTCTGGGGTTATATCAGCCTGGGGTTAGTCTCTGCAGGTTATATCAGCCTGGGGCAGCTTCTGGCAGGTTATATCAGCCTGGGGTATCCAGTTATTCAGCGGTAGTCTCTGAGCAGGTTATATCAGCTGGGGTAGTCTCTGGCAGATTACATCAGCCTGAAATCTGGCAGGTTATATCAGCCTGGGGTAATCTCTGGCAGGTATTATTTCAGCTCGGGGGTAGTCTCTGGCAGGTTATATCAGCCTGGGGTAGTCTCTGGCAGGTTATATCAGCCTGGGATAGTCTCTGTGGGTTATATCAGCCTGGGGTAGTCTCTGGGGTTATATCAGCCTGGGGTAGTCTGGCGGGTTATATCAGCCTGGGGTGATCTCTGGCGTTATATCAGCCTGGGGATTTCTGGCAGTTATTCAGCCTGAGGTATCTCTGGCAGGTTATATCAGCCTGAAGTCTCTGGCAAGTTATATCAGCCTGGGGTAGTCTCTGGCAGGTTATATCAGCTGTGGATTATATTAGACTGGGTTCTCTTGAGGTTATATCAGCCTGGGTAGTCTGGCTGGTTATATCAGCCTGGGAGTAGTCTCTGGCAGGTTATATCAGCCTGGGGGTCTGGCAGGTTATATCAGCCTGGATTCTGGCATGTTATATCAGCCTGGGGTGGTCTCTGGCAGGTTACATCAACCTGGAGTTCTCTGGCAGGTTATATCAGCCTAGGGGTTCTCTGGCGGTTATTTCAGCCTGGGGTAGTCTCTGTGGGTTATATTGGGCTGGGATAGTCTCTGGCAGGTTATATCAGCCTGGGTAGTCTCTGGCAGGTGTTATCAGCCTGGGGGTGTGTCTGGCAGGTTACATCAGCCTGGGAGTCTCTGGCATTGGTTCTTGCCTGGGGTAGTCTCTGGCAGGTTATTTCAGCCTGGGGTGGTCTCTGGCAGGTTATATTAGACTGGGATAGTCTCTGGCAGGTTATTTCAGCCTGGGGTAGTTCTCTGGCAGGTTATTACTCAGCCTGGGGTAGTCTCTGGCAGGTTATATCAGCCTGGGATGGTCTCTGGCAGGTTACAGCCTGGTGATCTCTGGGGTTATATCAGCCTGGGGTAGTCTCTGGCAGGTTATCAGCCTGGGGTAGTTTCTGGCAGGTTATATCAGCCTGGGTAGTCTCTGGCAGGTTATATCAGCCTGGGGTGGTCTCTGGCAGGTTATATCAGCCTGGGGTAGTCTCTGGCAGGTTATATCAGCCTGGGTTATCTGGCAGGTTATATCAGCCTGGGGTGGTCTCTGCAGGTTATATCAGCCTGGGGTAGAGTCTGGCAGGTTATATCAGCCTGAGGTAACAATAATATACATATATTAATATATATGGGATAAACAACTCTAAACAGTAGATATTAATGTAAAACAAAATGTGTGATGTTATACTGTCATCAGCTTTGTGTTGTGTCTATTAGGAGTTGTGTTGTGTATCACACAATGGGACAACAACACAACACAACATTTTACTTTACTTACTGTAAATTAATTTACAGTTGTTTTGTTTGTTATATAGTTAAACATATTTGGGATCACCTGAAGATTGGTCCCAGCTTATTTTATAGATTAACCACTGTAATGCTATCCTAACTTAACATAACATACTTAACTAATCTATGACTTAACCTTATATACGACCAACACAATATTGTATGGTAAAGGTGAAGGAGATGGTTAGCACCAGAAATAACTTATGTTAGAATATTAATTCTGGAGACACTATTTACATGATATTGAACACTAAAATGGGAATGAGAATCGACAGAATCTAACAGAATGTTTTGTTTGGGGGGTCCCCTCGGCTAGGATGTTAGGTAAGGTTAGGTCAGGTTCTGTGTGATTCTCAATTCCGTTTTCATGTTCAGTATCGTAAATAGTTCTATAAATTTGTTTAATTCAGTTAGAGTATGTTTGAAACTCATGAAAGCATTTTTTTTGAAGCTGCATTGTTATTTTCTTTTAATATGCTATGAGTAAATTCTTGTTACACACAAATAAATATTTCTTTGAGTGTCAGTTCTCTGCCACATTTTGAACACTTAACATCCTGCCAACTAGTCCATGTTCACAGATGAACTCTTGTAGAAGGTCTTCATCCTCCACAAGATAATTATCTTAATAAGACAATGAGCATCTGTCACAAGACGCGTCTAACTATGGCTTGCTTGTCTCCTCTTGTGGTAGAACAATAAGTATAGGAACACACAGTTCACTTATTATCCAATGCTACTTGTAAGGTGCTGTAATGAATCAAATGGTATATTATGTGAATGATTCCAACAATATGATCCTCATAACTATTAAAGAGTTGGTTTAAGATCTACGGGAAATAAAATGTATAGGATCAGCAGGTCATAGACTCTGACTCTAGATAGTGAAGTCCTCTACCAAAAACAAAACAATTAAACCTATTATATAAGGTAGATAAAGCCTGGATACGATTCACTGTCATTTGTTAACAATTTAAGTGAGAACAGAATCAGAACTTAACTGTTTACAATTGGACAACAACACAAGTAACGACTGGACTGCCGGAGGATCTAAGGCAAATATTAAATTTCTTCAAATACAAAACATGTACAGACATCCATTAACTGTCATATGATCAGTTTTTCATCGTGTTTTATCACATAATTTCATCCTTCATGTCATGCTAACCTTCTCGTCCACCTTTACCCATAATATAATGTAATCAAACCTAACTCTAACCTTAGCAGCTACCTGATAATATTTCACCTTAAAATATAAAGTTTTCTTACCTCGAGAAACATAATGTATGAGTAATGTGTTTTGTGTCACTTCACTTTTATAATTGTTAATGTCTTTATCGTTAACAATGGTTTGTTTGTGTAGTGTTTAACGCCACATTGTCCTCATCTTTAAAGCCCTGTTACTAGTGTTAAAGTGGTCATATTCCATAAATATCAACCTACCACTAAATAAAGGTCATATTCCTTTATAACAAGATAAAAAAATATTAGTTAAATCTATTTTAGTAATCAATTTCTGCGCATAAAATTAAATCTTTTATCATTCCACATAGCAGGAAAGGTCATAGTAAGTAAAGGTCATATTTTTTTCTACTGTTAGCCATCTGGGCACAGTCATTGACCCACATCAGGCCTGGGATGTATAATAATAATAATAATAATAATAATATATATATATATATATAATAATAATAATAATAATAAAATGAAAAAATCAATCAATTGTGAGAAACGACAGTACTGTATGTTGTGTTGTATAGTCAGAGAAACAATTGAGACCTGCAATTGTGTGTAAATAAGGCAGAGTCAGATCATCAACCTGGGACTTGGTCACATATGCAGCAGGGTCACCATTAGACAACACATTATGCTTCCATTATCTTCCAGGTGGTACTGCCTACTACATAACACACCTACACTGTTAGTAACTCACCAAACACTTGCTGTAATGTCCTGAGGAGGAGGAAGAAATCTGTTTTACGAGAAAATTGACAAAAATATAACAAGTGATGGTGAAACTTGTTGTTGTCAAGGAATATCCTATAAGGAAGTATAACCTCCCTTTACTGTATTAGATTCACAAAGGTAGATCCGTAGTGCCGCCTGGTGACTGAATGGCTAACTTACCAAAGAAAACAGATAATTGAGGATAAACTATTATTTTTATTGACCCTCATAGAAGAGGATCTCATGAACATTATACAAAATGTACGGTATTAAATTCTTTACTTGGACTAATTAACTGTATAAACTATTATTAAAGAAGATATTGAGGTGCTTTTTATGAAACTTAAGATTAGTAATGTAGTAGGAATAGGCAGCTATCAAATAGGGAGGTACTGTACTACTGTCTGGGAAGATATTGGTACATAATGTGTTGTGTAATGGTAGACCCTGATATATGTGACCAAGTCCCAGGTTGATGATTTGACTTGTTATTCATTTACACACAATTGCAGGGTCTTGTTTCTCTTACTTTTAGATCAAAACATATATATTGCTTCTCTATTGATTTTTTGTGGGCTTTTCCCTGTCATAAAAATGGTAATTAAATGGATATATTTATTATTTACATTTTATTATCATATGGCTACTTATGAGCCTTTAATCCACCCCCTCTACATAAATATGGGGAGATAAGTTTTAAATTCTACATAAATATGGGGAGAGGTTTCCTGTACCCCACAATCCACACCCCACATAAATATGGGAGAGGTTTCTGGACCATAATCCACCCCACATAAATATGGGGAGAGGTTTCTGTACCCCACATAAATATGGGAGAGGTTTCTTGCACCCCTACATAAATATGGGAGAGGTTTCCTGCACTTCATAATCCACTCCCCACATAAATTTGGGAGAGGTTTCTGGACCTCTTAATCCAATGTAATATAAATATGGGAGAGGTTTCTGTACCTACATAAATATAGGAGGAGGTTTCTGTACCCCACATAAATATGGGAGAGGCTTTGCACCTATGTAATCCACCCCACATAACAATATGGGGAGAGGGGGTTTCTGTACCCCATAATCCACCCTCACATAAATATGGAGAGGTTTCGGACCTCTTAATCCACTTAACATAAATATGAGAGGTTTCCTACCCCATAAATATAGGAGAGGTTTCTGTACTCCCACATAAATAAGGGGAGGTTTCTTGCACCCCACACAAATATAGGAGAGGTTTCTGTACCCCACACAAATATGGGAGAGGTTTCTGGACCCTTAATCCACGTAAATATAAATATGTTAGATAAATAAAGATAAACATGATAAATATTACTCTACACATATAAGTCAATCTTAATGAAACTTATTTTTCATCCTAATATTTTCATGTGAATAATAAAAACAAAAATTATAATAAACATTTTATTAACAATATTGGTATAAAAATACAGATTAACCTTGAATAATTTTATCTTTACTTTCATATATATATTTTGTAAATGACAGCATCTTTTAATTTTCCATTAGTGAGAAGCTATATATATATATTTGATTATTTGAATGTTTTATTAAAGGTATTATTATATATTATGTGTAGATCACCACAAGATAATGACCACAAACCCTGCCTGGCCACAACACTGAACCTGTGTCTTATGGTTTGTAGTTGACAGCACTAACTGTAACCCATGAGGCCTATTACAGTTGTCAGTGCGTGTCGTGTTCATGACAGTGCTGGAAGATAAAGGATAGTTACCAACTTCTGCTTTCTATACTTGGTCGTTATTATTTTCAGTGATTCACAGGATAGATCCACACAGTCCTAAACTCAACTGAGTGGAAGCAGCTAGACACAGGTCTTGTCTATAGTGAGTCCTCCTGGTTCTTCTACCTTCATTCTCCTAACTCTCCCACCAAGCATTGTGGGTAATAACATTACAGTTACATTAATTCACAAATTATTAAATGAGACAATTACAACAAGTTACAGTAAAAGACAATTAAGTATATACCTCAAACTACTTGAATTAACATAACATATAAGTTAATATTGAGTAACATCACAAGACCCCCAAGTTTGTAACACCTGTACTAAGAAGCCAATCACACCCAACCAATTATTATGTATTATATACAACTCACTATATACAAATAAATACACAGATTAAGATAACATGAATGTTATACATACTATAAGAACATAAGACAGGTATTACACAGAGCTCCTTGGGATGTGTACCTAGCACTCTGACAGTATAGTACATCACAGTTGGTAATTCAGTATATGTTAGTACATCACAGTTGGTACGTACAGTACATGTTAGTACATCACAGCTGGTACTGCCAGTACATGCTAGTACACTCACAGTAAGGCCATGGTAGAAGAAATTTACATCTTAAGAGCAGATAATTATAACTTGTGTTTAATATCTATAGAAGTGGCATTTGTCACTTGTCTTTATTTCTGCTACATTCATAGAATTTGTTCAAGTGGTTTTATATTGATGTATATCACTGTATTCAAGTTTATGTGTCACATTTACCTTCTGTTAAAGTCATTCAAACATTTAATGAATTCTGTTTTTTTCATGCACAAGTTTATGACGTTTGAGAGTACCCTTCAGGGAGAAACATTTTCCACATTCCTTACATTCAAACTCCTTTATACCACTGTGTCCAAGAATGTGTCTCTTGAGATCAATCTTCTGTGAGAAACATTTCCCACATTCCTCACATTCAAACTTCTTTATTCCACTGTGTACAAGAATGTGTCTGTTGAGAGTGCCCTTTTCTGCAAAATGTTTTCCACATTCCTTACATTCAAACTCCTTTATACCACTGTGTCCACGAATGTGTTTCTTGAGATTACCCTTTTCTGCAAAATGTTTCCCACATTCCTTACATTCAAACTCCTTTATACCACTGTGTCCAAGAATGTGTCTGTTGAGAGCACCCTTCCGGGAGAAACATTTCCCACATTCCTCACATTCAAACTCTCGTATTCCACTGTGTACAAGAATGTGTTTATTGAGAGTACCCCTTTCTGCAAAATGTTTCCCACATTCCTCACATTCAAACTCCTTTATACCACTGTGACCAAGAATGTGTGTCTTGAGAGTATTCTTCTGGGAGAAACATTTCCCACATTCCTCACATTCAAACTCCTTTGTACCACTGTGTACAAGAATGTGTGTCTTGAGCGTATTCTTCTGGGAGAAACATTTCCCACATTCCTCACATTCAAACTCCTTTATACCAATGTGTCCAAGAATGTGTCTCTTGAGAGTACCCTTCCGGGAGAAACATTTCCCACATTCCTCACATTTAAATTTCTTTACACCACTGTGTCCAACAATGTGTGTCTTCAGATTACCCTTTAGTGCAAAATGCTTCCCACATTCCTCACATTCAAACTTCTTTATACCACTGTGTCCAATAATATGTCTCTTGAGAGTACCCTTCTGGGAGAAACATTTCCCACATTCCTCACATTCAAACTCCTTTATACCACTGTGTACAAGAATGTGTGTCTCGAGAGTACTCTTTTGTGCAAAATTTTTCCCACATTCCTCACATTTATACTTCTTTATACCACTGTGTCCAAGAATGTGTGTCTTGAGATTACACTTCAGTGCAAAATGTTTCCCACATTCCTCACATTCAAACTCCTTCATACCATTGTGCACAAGCAAATGTGTCTGAAGAGTAGACTTCAACCAAAACCGTTTGCCACATTCCTCACAGGAGAACTTTTTATCTCTGCTTGACATTGTGAACTTCTTCTTAGTTACACTTGGTCTTGAGATGTAACATCACAGTATCTGAAACGAAATATTTTGCCTTAGATAATATTCTTATAAAAAGTACAATTTATAAATGAAAACTACAAGTGACTAAATCAACTTGTGTAAAATGATAATATTCTAAAAGCAATTTCAAAGGTTTAATTACAGCTAATCAGGGTCTGTGACTAATCATCACCCAGTGACGGACTGACCTATCGGGAGTTTGGGCATATTGTGGATGGGTCGATGAGCCAGTGGGACAGGATATATCAGCCTGGGGTAGTCTGTGGCATGTTATATCAGCCTCCGATAGTCTGTGGCAGGTTATATCAACCTGGGGTAGTCTCTGGCAGGTTATATCAGCCTCGGATAGTCTGTGGCAGGTTATATCAACCTGGGGTAGTCTCTGGCAGGTTATATCAGCCTGGGGGAGTCTCTGGCAGGTTATATCAGCCTGGGGTAGTCTCTGGCAGGTTGTATCAGCCTGAGGTAGTCTCTGGCAGGTTATATCAGCCTGAGGTAACAATAATATACATACATTAATATATATGGAGTAAACAACTCTAAACAGTTGATATTAATGTAAAACAAAAGTGTGATGTTATACTGTCATCAGCTTTGTGTTGTCTGCTGTTGTGAGTTGTGTTGTGTAGCATCACACACAATGGGACAACTTAACACAACACAACATTTTACTTTACTTACTGTAAATTATTTTACTGCGTCCAGTTGTTTAGTTAATATAGTTAAACATATTTGGGGTCACCTGAAGATTGGTCCCAGCTTATTTGACCCTAAGATTAACCACTGTAATGCTATCCTACCTTAACTTACTTAACCATACTTAACCTAATCTAACATGACTTAACCTAATCTAACATGACTTAACCTTACCTAACACGACCAACACAATATTGTATGGTAAAGGTGAAGGAGATGGTTAGCACCAGAAATAACTTATGGAATCGAACCAAAATTTCTGGAGACACTATTTACATGATATTGAACACGAAAATGGAGACGAGAATCGACAGAATCTAACAGAACTTGACCTAACGTAACTTTTAGCTTAATATGGCAGAGGGTCCGTCCCTCGGCAAGGATGTTAGGTAAGGTGAGGTCTGGTTCTGTGCATTCTCAATTCCGTTTTCAGGTTCAGTATCGTGTAAATGGTGTCTAGAAATTTTTGTTTAATTCTAGTTAGAGAAACACAATTCTAAACACTTAACTTACTGTTTGAAAACTATGTACCAGTGAAAGCATTTTTCTTGAAGCTGCATTGTGTATTTTTTTGTCTTTTATGCTCACATGAGTAAGACCTTTTGTTACACACTAATAAATATTTCTTGTTGAGTGTCAGTTCTCTGCCACATTTTGAACACTTAACATCCTGCCAACTAGTCCATGTTCACAGATGAACTCTTGTAGAAGGTCTTCATCCTCCACAAGGATAATTATCTTGTAATAAGACAATGAGCATCTGTCACAAGACGCCCTAACTATGGCTTGCTTGTCTCCTCTTGTGGTAGAACAATAAGTATAGGAACACACAGTTCACTTATTATCCAATGCTACTTGTAAGGTGCTGTAATGAATCAAATGGTATAATATGTGAATGGATTACAACAATATGATCCTCATAACATATAAATAGAGTTGGTTTAAGATCCTATTGTGCGGGAAATACAAAATGTATAGGATCAGCGCAGGTCATAGACTCCTGACTCTAGATAGTGAAGTCCGCTACCAAAAACAAAAACAATTAAACCTATTATATAAGGTAGATAAAGCCAGGATACGATTCACTGTCATTTGTTAACAATTTAAGTGAGAACAGAATCAGAACTTAACTGTTTACAATTGGACAACAACACGCGTCAACAAGACTGGACTGCCGGAGGAATATTTAAGGCAAATATTAAATTTCTTCAAATACAAAACATGTACAGACATCCATTAACTGTCATATGATCAGTTTTTCATCGTGTTTTATCACATAATTTCCCTCATCCTTCATGTCATGCTAACCTTCTCGTCCACCTTTACCCATAATATAATGTAATCAAACCTAACCTAACCTTAGCAGCTACCTCATAATATTTCACCTTAAAATATAAAGTTTTCTTACCTCGAGAAACATAATGTATGAGTAATGTGTTTTGTGTCACTTCACTTTTATAATTGTTAATGTCTTTATCGTTAACAATGGTTTGTTTGGTGTAGTGTTTTAACGCCACATTGTCCCTCATCTTTAAAGCCCTGTTACTAGTGTTAAAGTGGTCATATCTCCATAAATATCAACCTACCACTCAAATAAAGGTCATATTCCTTTATAACAAGATAAAAAACACATTCGTTAAATCTATTTTAGTAATCAATTTCCCGTTATGGCATAAAATGAATCTTTATCATTCCACATAGCAGGAAAGGTCATAGTTAAGGTAAAGAAGGTCATATTTTTTTTTTCTACTGGTATTAGCCCACCTGGGCACAGGTCATTGACCCACATCAGGGCCTCGGGGGCGACGTATAATAATAATAATAATAATAATAATAATAATAATAATAATAATAATAATAATAATAATAATAATAATAATAATAATAATAATAATACATACAAAAATGAAAAAAATCAATCAATAGTGAGAAACGACAGTACTGTATGTATGTTGTGTTGTCAATAGTCAGAGAAACAATTGATACCTGCAATTGTGTGTAAATGAGGCAGAGTCAGATCATCAACCTGGGACTTGGTCACATATAGCAGGAGGGTCTACCATTAGACAACACATTATGCTACCATTATCTTCCCAGGTGGTACTGCCTACTACCTAACACACCTACACTGTTAATAACTCACCAAACACTTGCTGTAATGTCCTGGAGGAGGAGAAATAAACTGTTTTACGAGAAGATTTACAAAAATATACAAGATGGTGAAACTTGTTGTTGTCAAGGAATATCCTATAAGGAAGTATAACTCTCCCTTACTGTATTAGATTCGCCAAAGGTAGACCCGTAGTGCCGCCTGGTGACTGAATGACTAACTTACCAAAGAAAACAGATATAATTGAGGATAAACTATTATTATTTATTGACCCTCATAAAAGAGGACCTCATGAACATTATACAAAACGTACGGTATAAAATACTTTACTTGAACTAAATAAAACTGTATAAACCATTATTAAAGAAGATATTGACAGGTGCTTTATGAAACTTACATTATAAGTAATGTAGTAGGCAATAGGCAGCTATCAAATAGAGAGGTACTGTACTACTGTCTGGGAAGATAATGGTAGCATAATGTGTTGTCTAATGGTAGACCCTGCTGCCATATGTAACCAAGTCCCAGGTTGATGATCTGACTCTCTGCCTCATTTACACACAATTGCAGGGACTCAATTGTTTCTCTTACTTTTAGATCACAACATACATATATTGCTTCTCAATATTGATTTTTTGGGGGGCTTATCCCTGTCATAAAAAATGGTAATTAAATGGAAATATTTAATATTTTACATTTTATTATCATATGGCTACTTATGAGCCCCTTAATCCACCCCACATAAATATGGGAGAGGTTTCTGTACCCCACATAAATATGGGAGAGGTTCTGTGCCCGCAAAATATAGGAGAGGGTTTCTGTACTTGCCGTCAGCCCATAAATATGGGAGGGTTTCTGGTTCCTAATCACACATAAATATGGGAGGTTTCGGACCCCCATAATCACCCACATAAATATGGGAGGTTTCTGTGCCCACATAAATATGGAGGTTTCTGTACCCCATATTCCACTTACATTAAATGTGGGAGGGTTTCTGGGGCCTCTTAATCCACGTAACATACAAATGGGAGAGGTTTCTGCCTTGCACACTAAAATATGGGAGGTTCACATACCACTAAATATGGGAGGGTTTCTGTACCCCATAATCCACCCCACATAAATATGGGAGAGGTTTCTGGACCTCTTAATCCACTTAACATAAATATGGGAGAGGTTTCTGTACCCCACATAAATATAGGAGAGGTTTCTGTACCCCACATAAATATGGGAGAGGTTTCTGGACCCCTTAATCCACGTAACATAAATATGTTAGATAAATAAAGATAAGACAGATAAATATTACTCTCATACATATAAGTCAATCTTAATGAAACTATTTTTCATCCTAATATTTTCATGTGAATAATAAAACAAAATTATAATAAACATTTTATTAACAATATTGGTATAAAAAATACATTAACCTTTGAATAATTTATCTTACTTTCATATATATTTTAAATGACAGCATCTTTTAATTCTTCCATAGTGAGCAGCCAAGTAGTATATATATTAGATCATTTAATGTTTTTATTAAAGGTAATATTACATATATTATGTGTAGACCACCACAAGATAATGACCCACAAGCCTTGCCTGGCCACAACACTGAACCTGTGTCTTATGGGTTTGTAGTTGACAGCACTAACAAGTAACCCATGAGGCCTATTACAGTTGTCAGTGCATGTCAAGTGTTCACGGGGACCAGTGCTGGAAGACAAAGGATAGCCACCAACTCCTGCTTTTTATACTTGGTACAATTATTATTTACAAGGTAGATTCACAGGATAGATCCACACAGACAAAGACCATCCACACAGACCTAAACTCAACTGAGTTGTGTGAAGCAGCGAGACACACAGGTCTGGTCTACAGTGAGTCCTCCCGGTTCTCTCTACCTTCATACCCTCCTCAACTCTCCCACCAAGCATTGTGGGTAATAACATCACAGTTACATTAATTCACAAATTATTAATGAGACAATTACAACAAGTTACAATAAAAGACAATTAAGTAGATAACTCAAACTACTTCAATCAACATTAACATATAAGTTAATAATTGGAGTAACATCACAATACCCCAAGTTTGGAACACCTTGTACAAGAAGCCAACTTCACACCCAACCACCATTATGTATTATATACAACAACTCACTATATACAACAAATTACACAGATTAGCATAACATTTATGTATGTTATACATTACCATAAGAACATACATTATATATTACACAGAGCCCTTGGGATGTACCTAGTAGCATCTGACAGTACAGTACATCACAGTTGGTAATGTACAGTACATGTTAGTACATCACAGTTGGTAATGTACAGTACATGTTAGTACATCACAGTTGGTAATGTACAGTACATGTTAGTACATCACAGTTGGTAATGTACAGTACATGTTAGTACATCACAGTTGGTAATGTACAGTACATGTTAGTACATCACAGTTGGTAATGTACAGTACATGTTAGTACATCACAGTTGGTAATGTACAGTACATGTTAGTACATCACAGTTGGTAATGTACAGTACATGTTAGTACATCACAGTTGGTAATGTACAGTACATGTTAGTACATCATAGTTGGTAATGTACAGTACATGTTAGTACATCACAGTTGCTAATGTACAGTACATGTTAGTACATCACAGTTGGTAATGTACAGTACATGTCATGTTAGTACATCACAGTTGGTAATGTACAGTACATGTCATGTTAGTACATCACAGTTGGTAATGTACAGTACATGTTAGTACATCACAGTTGGTAATGTACAGTACATGTTAGTACATCGGAGGTGGTAATGTACAGTACATGTTAATACATCACATTTGGTAATGTACAGTACATGTTAGTACATCACAGGTGGTAATGTACAGTACATGTTAGTACTTCACAGGTTTTAATGTACAGTACATGTTACTACATCACAGGTGGTAATGTACAGTACATGTTAGTACATCATACTTGGTAATGTACAGTACATGTTAGTACATCACAGTTGATAATGTACAGTACAGGTTAGTACAATACACAAGTGACAACAGGACATGACTACCGTAAGTCAACAACATCACCTGACTTGACCAAGCCAAATCAACATGGCTGGGTCTACATGTGACCATTACATGTTAACAAAATTATTGTACAAGTTCTACTAGACTCATAGGATACCCCTCAACTAACACAAGTTTATTTTTCTAACATATTCTATCATGTCATGGTAAAGTACTAAGGCCATGGTAGAAGAAATTTACATCATAAGAGCAGATAATTATAACTTGTGTTTAATATCTATAAAAGTGGCATTTGTCACTTGTCTTTATTTCTGCTACATTCATCGAGTTTGTTCAAGTGGTTTTATATTGATGTATATCAATGTATTCAAGTTTATGTGGCACATTTACCTTCTGTTAAAGTCATTCAAACATTTATTGAATTCTGTTTATCTCATGCACAAGTTTATGACGTTTGAGATGACCCTTCTGGGAGAAACATTTTCCACATTCCTCACATTTGAATTCTGTTAGACCACTGCATCGAAGAATGTGTGTTTTGAGATAACTCTTACTTGAAAAACATTTCCCACATTCTTCACATTTGAATTCTGTTAGACCACTGCATCGAAGAATGTGTGTTTTGAGATAACTCTTACTTGATAAACATTTCCCACATTCCTCACATTTGAACTCTGTTATGTCACTGTGTCCAAGAATGTGTGTTTTGAGATGACCCTTCTGGGTGAAACATTTCCCACATTCCTCACATTTGAACTCTTTTATACCACTGTGTCCAAGAATGTGTGTCTTGAGAGTACTCTTACGTGTAAAATGTTTCCCACATTCCTCACATTTGAACTTTTTTACGCCACTGTGCATAAGTTTGTGTCTAGTCAGATCACCTTTATTTGCAAAATGTTTCCCACATTCATCACATTTGAACTTTTTTACACCACTATGCACAAGTTTGTGTTTATTCAGATCACCTTTTTGTGCAAAATGTAACCCACATTCTTCACATTTTAACTTCTTGATACCACTGTGTAAGAATTTGTGTGTCTTGAGAACACCCTCTCGTGCAAAAGGTTTTCCACATACCTCACATTCAAACATTTTTATACCACTGTGTCCAAGAATGTGTATCTTGAGAGAACCCTTTTTTCCAAAATGTTTCCCACATTCCTCACATTGAAACTTTTTTTCTTTTACTGACATTGTGTAGTCTCTGGCAGGTTATATCAGCCTGGGGTAGTCTCTGGCAGGTTATAACAGCCTGGGGTAGTCTCTGGCAGGTTATATCAGCCTGGGGTAGTCTCTGGCAGGTTATATCAGCCTGGGGTAGTCTCTGGCAGGTTATATCAGCCTGGGGTAGTCTCTGGCAGGTTATATCAGCCTGGGGTATTCTCTGGCAGATTATATCAGTCTAGGGTAGTCTTTGGCAGGATATATCAGGCTGGGGTAGTGTCTGGCAGATTATATCAGTCTAGGGTAGTCTGTGGCAGGTTATATCAGCCTGGGGTAGTCTCTGGCAGATTATATCAGCCTGGGGTAGTCTCTGGCAGGTTATAACGGCCTGAGGTGTAGTCTCTGGCAGGTTATATCGGCCTGAGGTAGTCTCACCAGCGGGTTATTTCGGCCTGGGGTAGTCTCTGGCAGGTTATATCAGCCTGGGGTAGTCTCTGGCGGGATTATTTTCTCAGCCTGGGAGTAGTCTCTGGCAGGTTATGTCAGCCTGGGAGTAGTCTCTGGCAGGTTATAACAGCCTGGTCAGCCAGTCTCTGGCGGATTATATCAGCCTGGGAAGTCTCTGGCAGGTTATATCAGCCTGGGGTAGTCTCTGGCAGGTTATAACAGCCTGGGCTGGTGTAGTCTCTGGCAGGTTATAACAGCCTGGGGGTAGTCTCTGGCAGGTTATATCAGCCTGGGGTGGTCTCCTGGCAGGTTATAACTCACAGCCTAGGGTAGTCTCTGGCAGGTTATAACAACCTGGGGTGTTAGTCTATGGCGGAGTTATCAGCCTGGGGCGGTCTGCAGCGGGATATATCGCTTGAGGAAGTCTCTGGCAGGTTATGTGGCCTGGGGCAGTCTCTGGCAGGATATATCAGCATGGGGAAGTCTCTGGCAGGTTATATCAGCCTGGGGGAGTCTCTGGCAGGTTATATCAGCCTGGGGTAGTCTATGGATATGGGGTAAACAACTCTAAACAGTTGATATTAATGTAAAACAAAAGTGTGATGTTATACTGTCATCAGCTTTGTGTTGTCTACTGTTGTGAGTTGTGTTGTGTAGCATCACACACAATGGGACAACTTAACACAACACAACATTTTACTTTACTTACTGTAAATTAATTTACAGTGTCCAGTTGTTTAGTTAATATAGTTAAACATATTTGGGATCACCTGAAGCTTGGTCCCAGCTTATTTCACCTTAACATTAACCACTGTGATGCTCTCCTAACTTAACTTACTTAACCATACTTAACCTAATCTAACATGACTTAACCTAATCTAACATGACTTAACCTAACCTAACATGACTTAACCTAATCTAACATGACTTAACCTAATCTAACATGACTTAACCTTACCTAACACGACCAACACAATATTGTATGGTAAAGGTGAAGGAGATGGTTAGCACCAGAAATAACTTATGGAATTGAACCAAAAATTCCTGGAGATATTATTTCCAGAGACACTATTTTCATGATACTGAACACGAAAATGGAAATGAGAAACCACAGACCGTAAGAGAACCTAATCTAACCAAAGAAACCTTAACCATCCTTAACTAACTTTCTACTTAATATGGCAGCAGGTCCGCCCCTTGGCTAGGATGTTAAGTAAGGTTAGGTCAGGTTCTGTTAGATTCTGTGCATTCTCGTTTCCATTTTCATGTTCAGTCTCATGAAAAGAATATTTCCATAAATTTTGGTTCAATTCCAGTTAGTGTTTGAAGCCGCATAGCGTAAATTCTTGTTACACACAAATAAATATTTCTTGTTGAGTGTCAGTTCTCTGCCACATTTTGAACACTTAACATCCTGCCAACTACAGTAGTCCATGTTCACAGATGAACTCTTGTAGAAGGTCTTCATCCTCCACAAGGATAATTATCTTGTAATAAGACAATGAGCATCTGTCACAAGACGCCCTAACTATGGCTTGCTTGTCTCCTCTTGTGGTCGAACAATAAGTATAGGAACACACAGTTCACTTATTATCCAATGCTACTTGTAAGGTGCTGTAATGAATCAAATGGTATAATATGTGAATGGATTCCAACAATATGATCCTCATAACATATAAATAGAGTTGGTTTAAGATCCTATTGTGCGGGAAATACAAAATGTATAGGATCAGCGCAGGTCATAGACTCCTGACTCTAGATAGTGAAGTCCGCTACCAAAAACAAAAACAATTAAACCTATTATATAAGGTAGATAAAGCCTGGATACGATTCACTGTCATTTGTTAACAATTTAAGTGAGAACAGAATCAGAACTTAACTGTTTACAATTGGACAACAACACGCGTCAACAAGACTGGACTGCCGGAGGAATATCTAAGGCAAATATTAAATTTCTTCATATACAAAACATGTACAGACATCCATTAACTGTCATATGATCAGTTTTTCATCGTGTTTTATCACATAATTTCCCTCATCCTTCATGTCATGCTAACCTTCTCGTCCACCTTTACCCATAATATAATGTAATCAAACCTAACCTAACCTTAGCAGCTACCTCATAATATTTCACCTTAAAATATAAAGTTTTCTTACCTCGAGAAACATAATGTATGAGTAATGTGTTTTGTGTCACTTCACTTTTATAATTGTTAATGTCTTTATCGTTAACAATGGTTTGTTTGGTGTAGTGTTTTAACGCCACATTGTCCCTCATCTTTAAAGCCCTGTTACTAGTGTTAAAGTGGTCATATCTCCATAAATATCAACCTACCACTCAAATAAAGGTCATATTCCTTTATAACAAGATAAAAAACACATTAGTTAAATCTATTTAGTAATCAATTTCCCGTTATGGCATAAAATGAATCTTTATCATTCCACATAGCAGGAAAGGTCATAATACAGTATTAAGGTAAACAAGGTCATATAACACACCTGCACTCTTAATAACTCACCAAACACTTGCTGTAATGTCCAGGAGGAGGAGAAATAAACTGTTTTACGAGAAAATTGACGGAAGTATACAAGATGGTGAAGCGTGTTGTTGTTGTTGTCAAGGAATATCCAATAAGGAAGAACAATTCTCCACTATTAGTCACCACAGGTTGACCCGTAGTGCCGTCTTGTGACTGAAAGGCTAACTAACCACAGAAAACATATACAAATGAGGGTAAACTATTATTATTTATTGACCCTCATAGAAGAGGTCCTCATGAACACTTACAAAACGTACGGTATAAAATACTTTACTTGAACTAAATTTTCTGTATAAACCATTATTAAAGAAGATATTGACAGGTGCTTTATGAAACTTACATTATAAGTAATGTAGTAGGCAATAGGCAGCTATCAAATAGGGAGGTACTGTACTACTGTCTGGGAAGATATTGGAAGCATAATGTGTTGTCTAATGGTAGACCCTGCTGCCATAGGTGACCACGTCCCAGGTTGATGATCTGACTTCCTGCCTCATTTACACACAATTGCAGGGTCTTGTTTCTCGCACTTTGAAAACACAACATACATATATTGCTTCTCACTATTGATTTTTTTTGTGGGCTTATCCCTGTGAAAAAATGGTAATTAAATGGATATATTTAATATTTTACATTATATTATCATGAATATGGCTACTTAGGTGCCCCTTAATCCACCCCACATAAATATGGGAGAGGTTTCTGTACCCCATAATCCACCCCACATAAATATGGGAGAGGTTTCTGTACCCCATAATCCACCCGACATAAATATGGGAGAGTTTCTGTACCCATAATCCACCCCCCATAAATATGGGAGAGGTTTCTGTGCCCCTTAATCCACCCCCCATAAATATGGGAGAGGTTTCTGTACCCCTTTATCCACCTGCCATAAATATGGGAGAGGTTTTTGTACCCCATAATCCACCCCACATAAATATGGGAGAGGTTTCTGTACCCCATAATCCACCCCACATAAATATGGGAGAGGTTTCTGTACCCCATAATCCACCCCACATAAATATGGGAGAGGATTCTGTACCCCTTAATCCACCCCAAATAAATATGGGAGAGGTTTCTGTACCCCTTAATCCACCCCAAATAAATATGGGAGAGGTTTCTGTACCCCTTAATCCACCCCACATAAATATGTTAGATAAATAAAGATGACAGACAGATAAATATTACTCTCATACATATAAGTCAATCTTAATGGAACTATTTTTCATCCTAATATTTTCATGTGAATAATAAAACATAAAATTATCACAAACATTTTATTAACAATATTGTTATCAAAATTACATCAACCTTTGAACAGTGGATTAGGCGACCTTTGGGTAAGACGAGGTCCACATTACAGTCTATGTTAACATAAGAACATAAGAAAATACGGAGTCTGCAATAGGCCGGTTGGCCTGTGCATGGCAGCTCCTGTCGAGAGTTACTACCACTCTCTATCATCCATGAATCTATCCAGCCTCCTTTTGAAACTTTCCAGCATTCCAGGACTTACTACAAAGTTGCTAAGCTTGTTCCACTCGTCCACCACCCTATTTGTGAACCAGTTCCTTCCCATCTCCCGACTAAACCTAAACTTATCCAACTTAAATCAGTTGCTCCGAGTCCTATCCTGCTCGGATATTATAAGAACTTTATCTATATCCCCTTTATTGATTCCTTTCACCCACTTAAATACTTCTATCATATCTCCCCGCACTCTTCGTTTTTCTAGGGTATGCAAGTTCAGTTTCTTTACCCTATCCTGATATGGAAGGTTTCTAAGTCCTGGAATCATTTTCGTCATTCTTTGCTGCACCGACTCTAGTGAATTGATATCCATTCAATAATAAGGGCACCAGAACTGAACCGCATAATCGAGGTGCGGCCTGACTAGCGCAAGATATAGTTGCATTACGACCAATGCACTCTTATTACTTACACTTCTAGATATAAAATCCAATATACTCTGTTTGCCTTATTTCGAACATTAACGCACTGTTTTCTAGGCCGTAGGTCCGGGCTTACAAGTACCCCTAAGTGTCTTTCACAAGTTGACTTCTCTAGGTTGATGTTGTTAAGGCTGTCTACATTGACAGTTCCATGGTTTTGACTCATATCTGTGGTATAAGACAACTCCCCAAACTACTAAACCACCTGTGGTAAAGTTTAAGTCAATTTGACCACCAATATGGTGATATGTTTAACATATTAAATACTTTGAATGGACGTTTGCCTGAACAAGCCATTTAAAGATCATGTGTGTGAAGACTGGAATATTTGGATGATGGATGGTGAAAAATCCTTTCCAAAAAGTGAGGCTACACGCGCTGCATCACTTGATGTGCTGTCTGATCAAAACAAGGGATAAAGTGAAAATAGAGACTGTAATAAAACCTTTCAAAAGGTGAGGTATCTCTAATGTAATGGATGGTATGGAGGCAATATCTTATAATTCTTCCATAGTGAGCAGCCAAGTAGTGTATATATTTGATCATTTAATGTTTTTATTAAAGGTAATATTACATATATTATGTGTAGACCACCACAAGATAATGACCCACAAGCCTTGCCTGGCCACAACACTGAACCTGTGTCTTATGGGTTTGTAGTTGACAGCACTAACAAGTAACCCATGAAGCCTATTACAGTTGTCAGTGCATGTCAAGTGTTCACGGGGACCAGTGCTGGAAGACAAAGGATAGTCACCAACTCCTGCTTTCTATACTTGGTACAATTATTATTTACAAGGTAGATTCACAGGATAGATCCACACAGTCCTGAGCTCAACTGAGTTGTGTGAAGCAGCGAGACACACAGGTCTGGTCTACAGTGAGTCCTCCCAGTTCTCTCTACCTTCATACCCTCCTCAACTCTCCCACCAAGCATTGTGGGTAATAACATCACAGTTACATTAATTCACAAATTATTAATGAGACAATTACAACAAGTTACAATAAAAGACAATTAAGTAGATAACTCAAACTACTTCAATCAACATTAACATATAAGTTAATAATTGGAGTAACATCACAAGACCCCAAGTTTGGAATACCTTGTACAAGAAGCCAACTTCACACCCAACCACCATTATGTATTATATACAACAACTCACTATATACAACAAATTACACAGATTAGCATAACATGAATGTATGTTATACATTACCATAAGAACATACATTATATATTACACAGAGCCCTTGGGATGTACCTAGTAGCATCTGACAGTACAGTACATCACAGTTGGTAATGTACAGTACATGTTAGTACATCACAGTTGGTAATGCACAGTCCATGTTAGTACATCACAGTTGGTAATGTACAGTACATGTTAGTACATCACAGTTGGTAATGTACAGTACATGTTAGTACATCACAGGTGGTAATGTACAGTACATGTTAGTACATCACAGTTGGTAATGTACAGTACATGTTAGTACATCACAGTTGGTAATGTACAGTACATGTTAGTACATCACAGTTGGTAATGTACAGTACATGTTAGTACATCACAGTTGGTAATGCACAGTACATGTTAGTACATCACAGTTGGTAATGTACAGTACATGTTAGTACATCACAGTTGGTAATGTACAGTACATGTTAGTACATCACAGTTGGTAATGTACAGTACATGTTAGTACATCACAGTTGGCAATGTACAGTACATGTTAGTACATCACAGTTGGTAATGTACAGTATATGTTAGTACATCACAGTTGGTAATGTACAGTACATGTGAGTACATCACAGTTGGTAATGTACAGTACATGTTAATACACAGTACATGTTAGTACAATACACAAGTGACAACAGGACATGACTAAGTCAACAACATCACATGACTTGACCAAGCCAAATCAACATGGCTGGGTCTACATGTGACCATTACATGTTAACAAAATTATTGTACAAGTTCTACTAGACTCATAGGATACCCCTCAACTAACACAAGTTTATTTTTCTAACATATTCTATCACGTCATGGTAAAGTACTAAGGCCATGGTGGAAGAAATTTACATCTTAAGAGCAGATAATTATAACTTGTGTTTAATATCTATAAAAATGGCATTTGTCACTTGTCTTTATTTCTGCTACATTCATAGAGTTTGTTCAAGTGGTTTTATATTGATGTATATCACTGTATTCAAGTTTATGTGGCACATTTACCTTCTGTTAAAGTCATTCAAACATTTATTGAGTTCTGTTTTTTTAATGCACAAGTTTATTATGTTTGACATTACTCTTTCAGGAGAAACATTTCCCACATTCCTCACATTTGAACTCTTTTATGCCACTGTGTATAAGAATGTGGTCTGTGAGAATACTCTTCTGGGAGAAACATTTCCCACATTCCTCACATTTGAACTCTTTTATGCCACTGTGTATAAGAATGTGGTCTGTGAGAGTACTCTTCTGGGAGAAACATTTCCCACATTCCTCACATTTGAATTTTTTTACACCACTGTGAAGAAGTTTGTGATTAGTAAGACCAACCTTTTGTGTAAAACATTTTCCACATTCCTCACATTTGAATTTTTTTACACCACTGTGAAGAAGTTTGTGAATAGTAAAACCACTCTTTTGTAGAAAACATTACCCACATTCCTCACATTTGAACTCTCTTTTCCCATTGTGTACAAGAATGTGGTACTGGAGATGACCCTTGGTGGTGAAGCATTTCCCACATTCCTCACATTCAAACTGTTTAATACCACTGTGTCCAAGAATGTGTGTCTTGAGAGCACCCTTCCGGGAGAAACATTTCCCACATTCCTCACATTTGAACTGTTTAATACCACTGTGTCCAAGAATGTGTGTCTTGAGATAACTCTTTACCGCAAAACATTTCCCACATTCCTCACATTTGAACTCTCTTTTGCCACTGTGTGCAAGTATGTGGTTCTGGAGATGAACCTTCTGGGAGAAACATTTCCCACATTCCTTACATTCAAAATCTTTAATACCACTGTGTCGAAGAATGTGTGTCTTGAGAGTACTCTTCCGGGAGAAACATTTCCCACATTCCTCACATTTGAACTCTCTTTTGCCACTGTGTGCAAGTATGTGGTTCTGGAGATGAACCTTCTGGGAGAAACATTTCCCACATTCCTTACATTCAAAATCTTTAATACCACTGTGTCCAAAAATGTGTGTCTTGAGATCACCCTTCCGGCAGAAACATTTCCCACATTCCTCACATTTGAACTCTCTTTTGCCACTGTGTCGAAGAATGTGTGTCTTGAGAGTGCTTTTTACCGCAAAACATTTCCCACATTCCTCACATTTGAACTCTCTTTTGCCACTGTGTCCAAGAATGTGTGTCTTGAGAGCACTCTTTACCGCAAAACATTTCCCACATTCCTGACATTTGAACTCTCCTTTGCCACTGTGTCCAAGAATGTGTGTCTTGAGAGTACTTTTTACCGCAAAACATTTCCCACATTCCTCACATTTGAACTCTCTTTTGCCACTGTGTGCAAGAATGTGGTACTGGAGATGACCCTTGGTGGTGAAGCATTCCCCACATTCCTCACATTCAAACTGTTTAATACCACTGTGTCCAAGAATGTGTGTCTTGAGAGCACTCTTCCAGGAGAAACATTTCCCACATTCCTCACATTTGAACTGTTTAATGCCACTGTGTCCAAGAATGTGTGTCTTGAGATCACCCTTCCAGCAGAAACATTTCCCACATTCCTCACATTCAAACTCCTTAATACCACTGTGTCCAAGAATGTGTGTCTTGAGAGCACTTTTTACCGCAAAACATTTCCCACATTCCTCACATTTGAACTCTCTTTTGCCACTGTGTGCAAGAATGTGGTACTGGAGATGACCCTTGGTGGTGAAGCATTTCCCACATTCCTCACATTCAAACTGTTTAATACCAGTGTGTCCAAGAATGTGTGTCTTGAGAGCACCCTTCCGGGAGAAACATTTCCCACATTCCTCACATTCAAACTGTTTAATACCACTGTGTCCAAGAATGTGTGTCTTGAGAGCACTCTTCCAGGAGAAACATTTCCCACATTCCTCACATTCAAACTTGTTTTCTCTGCTTGACATTGTGTAGTCTCTGGCAGGTTATATCAGCCTGGGGTAGTCTCTGGCTGGTTATATCAGCCTGGGTAGTCTCTGGCAGGTTATATCAGCCTGGGGTAGTCTCTGGCAGGTTATATCAGCCTGGGGTAGTCTCTGGCAGGTTATATCAGCCTGGGGTAGTCTCTGGCTGGTTATATCAGCCTGGGTAGTCTCTGGCAAGTTATACCAGCCTGGGGTAGTCTCTGGCAGGTTATATCAGCCTGGGGTAGTCTCTGGCAGGTTATATCAGCCTGGTCTCTGGGTTATAACAGCCTGGGGTAGTCTCTGGCAGGTTATATCAGCCTGGGGTAGTCTCTGGCAGGTTATATCAACCTGGGGACGTCTCTGGCAGGTTATATCAGCCTGGGGTAGTCTGGCAGGTTATATCAGCTTGGGGTAGTCTCTGGCAGGTTATATCAGCCTGGGGTAGTCTCTGGCAGGTTATATCAGCCTGGGATAGTCTCTTGCAGGTTATTACCTATATATGGGATAAACAACTCTAAACAGTTGATATTAATGTAAAACAAAAGTGTGATGTTATACTGTCGCCAGCTTTGTGTTGTCTACTATTTAATGAGTTGTGTTATGTAACATCACACACAATGGGACAACAACACAACACAACATTTTGCTTTACTTACTGTAAATTAATTTACAGTGTCCAGCTCATTTAGTTAATATAGTTAAACATATTTGGGATCACACGAAGATTGGTGCAGCTTCTTTCACCTTAGATTAGCTTCCTGTGATGCTCTCTAACAACATAACCATACTTGCTAATCTAACGCGGCTTAACCTAATCTAACATGACTTAACCTAATCTATAGCAGCTTAACCTAATTTAACATGACAACCTTACCTAACACGACCCAACACAATATTGTATGGTAAAGGTAGAGATGGTGCTTACCAGAAATAACTTATGAAATTGAGCCAAAAATTCCTGGAATGTGGCTAGAGACACTATTTTTCATGTGATACTGAACACGAAAATAAGGCTGAAACCACAGACCCTAAAGAGAACCTCAGCACAAGAATGTTAAGTAAGGTTAGGTCAGGTTCTGTTGGATTCTGTGCATTCTCGTTTCCATTTCATGTTCCAGTCTCATAATCCTTCCATAATTTGGTTCAATTCCAGTTAGTGTTTGAAGCCGCATAGCGTAAATTCTTGTGCAAATAAATATTTCTTGTTGAGTGTCAGTTTCTCTGCCACATTTTGAACACTTAACATCCACTGCCAATAGTCCATGTTCTGCCAGATAGACTTTTCTTGTAGAGTCTTCATCCTCCACAAGGATAATTATCTTGTAATAGGGCAATGAGCATCTGTCACAAAGGCGGCCCTAACTATGTTGCTTGTCTCCTCTTGTGGTCGAACAATAAATATAGGAACACACAGTTCACTTATTATCAATACTACTTGTAAGGTGCTGTAATAAGATCAAATGGTATATTATGTGAATGGATTCCAACAATATGATTTTCCATAACATATAAATAGAGTTGGTTTTTAAAGATCCTATTGTGCGGGAAATACAAAATGTATACTAGGATCAGCGCAGGTCATAGACTCCTGACTCTAGATAGTGAAGTCCGCTACCAAAGAAACAAAACAATTTAAACCTGGCCATAAGGTAGATAAAGCCTGGATACGATTCACTGTCATTTGTTAACAATTTAAGTGAGAACAGAATCAGGGCTTTAACTGTTTTACAATTGAACCTTATTTTGCGTTAACAAGACTGGACTGCTGGAGGGAATATCTAAAGCATACCCGAAATTATATTCGTTTTTTCTCCTTACAAAACATGTACAGACATCCATTCACTGTCATATGATCAGTTTTCATCGTGTTTTATCCTATAATTTCCCTCATCCTTCATGTCATACTAACCTTCTCGTCACCTTTACCCATAATATAATGTAATCAAACCTAACCTAACCTTCTCGTCACCTTTACCCCATAATATAATGTAATCAAACCCTAACCTAACCTTAGCAACTACCTCATAATATTTCACCTTAAAATATAAAGTTTCTTACCTCGAAGCGCAATGATATTGTGAGTAATGTGTTTGTGTCCAGCTACTTTTATAATTGTTAATGTCTTTATCGTTAACAATGACATTTGGTGTATGGTGTTTTAACGCCATTGTCCTCATCTTTAAAGCCCTGTTACTAGTGTTAAAGAGTGGTCGCTATCTCCTTAAATATCAACCTACCACTCAAACAAAGGTCATATTCCTTTATAACAAGATAAAAAACACATTAATTAAATCTATTTTAGTAATCAATTTCCCGTTATGGCACCAAATGAATCTTTATCATTCCACTGTGGGAAAGGTCATAATACAGTATTAAGGTAAACAAGGTCATATAACACACCTGCTCTTAATAACTCACAAACACCTGTAATATTCAGGAGGAGGAGAAATAAACTGTTTTACGGAAAATTGACGAGTACTTCAAGATGGTGAAAGCGTGTTGTTGTTGTTGTCAAGGAATATCAATAAGGAAGAACAACTCTCCACTGTAGTCACCAGGTAGACCCGTAGTGCCGCCTGGTGACTGAATGGCTAACCTACAGAAAACAGATATAAGTGAGGATAAACTATTGTGTTGTGGCCTCCTGAAATAAGTTGCTCATAGACATTATACAAAATGTGCGGTAATAGAATTCTTTACTTGGACTAAATTAACTGTATAAACCATTATTAAAGAGAGACATTTGACAATTTGCTTTATGAAACTTACATTATAAGTAATGCTAGTAGAGCAGCAGGCAGCTATCAAATAGGAAGTACTATGCTACTGTCTGGGAAGATATTGGGAAGCATAATGTATTTGTCTAATGGTAGACCCTGCTGCCATAGTGACCTACGAGTTGATAATCTGACTTGCACGTCATTTACACACAATTGCAGGGTCTTGTTCTCTTGCTTTTAGATCACAACATACATGTTATACTCAATGTATTGATTTTTTTAGAGCTTATCCCTGTCATAAAAAATGAGCAATTAAATGGAAATATTTAATATTTTACATTTTATTATCATGAATATAGTTATATGAGCCCCTTAATCCACCCACATAAATATGGGAAGGTTTCATACCCTTAATCACGTAACATAAATATGTTAGATAAATAAAGATGACAGACAAAGATAAATATTGCTCTCTCATACATATAAGTCAATCTTAATGAAACTGTTTCATCCTGTATTTCATGTGAATATTAAAACAAAATTACCAATAAACATTTATTCAACAATATTGGTATAAAAATTACATTAACCTTTGAATAATTTATCTTACTTTCATATATATATTTTAAATGACAGCATCTTTTAATTCTTCCATTAGTGAAAGCCAAGTAGTATATATATTAGATCATTTTAATGTTTTTTAATACAAAGGTAATATTACATATATTATGTATGAACCACCACAAGATAATGACCACAAGCCTTGCCTGTACAACACTGAACCTGTGTCTTATGGGTTTGTAGTTGACAGCACTAACAAGTAACCCATGAGGGCCCTATTACAGGTGTCCAGTGCATGTCAGAATGTTCACAGGGACCAGTGCTGGAAGACAAGGATAGCCACCAACTCCTGCTTTTTATACTTGGTACAATTATTATTTACAAGGTAGATTCACAGAATGAATCCACACAGACAAAGACCATCCACACAGACCCTAAACTCAACTGAGTTGTATGGCAAACCTTGTGAGACACACAGGTCTGGTCTGTCAAATCCTCCACAGTTCTCTCTACTTGGTACCTCCTCAACTCTCCTACCAAGCATTGTGGGTAATAACATCACAATTTTCATTACAAAATTATTAATGGAACAATTACAACAAGTTACAATAAAGACAATTAAGTAGGCCACTCAAACTACTTCCCAATCAACATTAACATATAAGTTAATAATTGGAGTAACATCACAAGACCACAAGTTTGGAACACCTTTACAAGAAGCCAACTTCACACCCAACCCACCATTATGTATTATATACAACAACTCACTACATACAACAAATTACACAGATTAACATAACATGGATATGTGTTATACATTACCGCCAGAACATACATTATATATTACACAGGCCCTTGGGATGTACCTAGTAGCATCCAGACAGTACAGTACATCACAGTTGGTAATGTACAGTACATGTTAGTACATCACAGTTGGTAATGTATAGTGTATTGGTATCCTGATTTAATCAATATGCAGTACATGTTAGTACATCTGATTGGTAATGTACAGTACATGTTAGTGCATCCTGATTGGTAATGTACAGTACATTGATACATCCACAGTTGGTAATGTACAGTACATGTTAGTACATCTCAGTTAATGTACAGTACATGTGTAGTACATCACAGTTAGTAATGTACAGTACATGTTAGTACATCTGATTAGTAATGTAAATTACATGTTAGTACATCACAGTTAGTAATGTACAGTACATGTCATATTGGTACATCACAGTTGGTAATGCCACGAAATTTTAAATTATTACATCACAGTTGGTAATGTACAGTACATGTTAGTACATCACAGTTAGTAATGCACAGTACATATTAGTACATCACAGTTGGTAATGTAGAGGTACATGTTAGTACATCACAGTTAGTAATAGACAGTACATGTCATGTTGGTATCTGATTGGTATGTACAGTACATGTTAGTACATCTGATTGGTGATATATGATGCATGTTAATTATCAGGTGGTAATGTGCCAGTACATGTTAGTACATCACAGTTGG